TTAGTTACACCACTTATAACTCAAGAACGGCAGAATAGATTTGGCTGAAAATTGGTAGGGAGGTAGCTTAGAGCTAGGAGACCGACATAGGATACTTTTTATAGAATACTTTTTTTTACTTTTTACCGAAACTCACGAACGATACCGAATATACGGGGACGGGAAAAAATGGGATTACGCGTACGAAGTCGCGGGCAGAAGCTAGTAAATTATAAAGGCGGTTAAAAATATCCTAAGTTATCCCTATTAATAGTCAGCATTGCATCTACTCCTCTGGTGTTATGGATATCCATACGCTTACGACAGCGCTGATAACTCACCATTATCAACATCATGATACCGTCTGCTCATTTACCCTTCAATCCCATAAACAACAATTTAGCTTATTGACTACACTTCTGCACTTATCTGTCTTTTGACCCAAGCCAGCTGCAAGCGGTTATATCGGGATTGTCTCCGCTAATGAGAGCCGTAATTACGACATCGTTGTACCGGGATGTGCGTGAGAATAATTGGCACTGGATGCTATGTTCTCTGCGCTGAATATCTGAAAATTTTACTTGTATTTAAAATTATAATGATGATACCTATTGTCATCTTATATTATTGTCGCGGTAAGCCTAGAATGAGATGGCGGGATAAATTTGTCGCTTATAAAAAGGATTGGCCAAAGAAAGCTATAAAAAAGAGGAGTGGAAGGAGGGTAGGGAGGCCTTAGCCCTGCAGTGGGATGACTATGGCTAAAAATAAATAATAAATACTTATTGAGGTCTAGATAAAATCTGCAGTCATGTAGGTAAGGTGTGATTGACACTTATTCAAATTCGGAAACTACCTCCCTATCAGCTTCAATTTGGGATAGGGTAAAATCATGATCGGACTAGTTTGATTCTCAAAAGTTCTGACAATAAGAATTTCGTATTATATCGGTTTCAGAATATCTTAACTAATGATTTTACTTTCAGTATGAGCTGTGAGCTATTGCCTAACCTTTCGGTCTATAAAAGATGATATGATACCTAAGTTATGTTATGGTGAGTGTGCGTGGGAATTGCACAACCTTATTCTAGTCCATTTGACCACCGTACTACCAGACGAGCACCCTCATATGGTGGACATTCCATCCATTCGCACGAAGCTTTTCGCATCAAGCTTCCTTGTGCGAACAGCTAAGAAATGGAACTCCTTACCGGAATCTGTGTTACTCGACATATTGTTATAACTTGAGTGTCTTCAAGTCCCGAGTGATCAGGTTACTCTTAGGTAGACGTGCTCCATCGTCGCCATAGCATCGCTTAATCGCTTACCACCAGGCAAGATGTTGGTCAAATGTCGACCTATCAAGTATAAAAAATAAAACAACACATTAAATAAATCCATCTGCCTCTTTATAATAGCAGACGAGACGGTGAATATAGTTATTGTATAGCATTTAATACTATAACTGCAATAGTTAGTAGTTATTCCCCAGACTGGAAGATCATAAGAGACTATTATAGGAATATGAGATGAGTTTATCAGTAACATTCTATTATGGAATTTAATTTGAACTTGTCGTTAAAACTTATGGTCTCGGTTGTGGTTGAAGTTGCTTAGAATGACTTTTGCTTGTGAGTTTGTTTGTAAATATTAATATAGATTTTGATGAAGGAGAAGGGAGGGAAACCTAATTACCTACCCCCCCGGCCCTCTCCAATTTCTCCAATTCCTGTCGCCTAAAAACGCTTCTGATGGTCCGGGTGTCCATAGGCGACGCCGATTGCTTACCATCAGATGATCCGTATCTGTTCGGTTATTGGCTAATCCCATAAAAAAGATAGATTGTCTATCTATCTAATTAGTTTGAATATATCTTCTCTCATTAATGGTTCCGCATCAAACAGTCAACTGTTACACTATTGGGCTCTCGCTGTTCTTTAAGTGGTTTGCCATAATGTCAGAACTTGGCAGGTGATTTGGAGACCACAGTTTAAAAAGTTCTGGTTTTTTGTCAAGGAGCTGGATCACACTAATGTTTTAAATGCAAATGTATGTGTTTGTTACTTTTTCCAGTCAAAACGGCTGAAGGGATCGAGATAACATTTGGAAGAGGGATAGACTATGATTACTTTTATCCGGGAATGTGGAATACCAAGATATAATATCCAAATCATTCAGACTACCACGATATCTATGTTGTATGAGAATAATCTATTAATATAAACTGCACACAAAACCAGGCTTCGTATCATTGAAGACAATTCACATTAACCACCACAATTTTACTCGTAAATCAAAGTGCTAACTTAGGTCAGAACGTAGGCAGATTTTCCGAAACAGGCTAAACAATCCATCACTTTAAGTTGAAAAACGTGGTAGATAGGAATAATAACTTGGTAGTCACATTTAGCATGATGGATGGTGCTGGGTGAAGCAATGATAACACATAAAGGAATCGTAAGAAAGATGTATCGTTCTGATAATGGATGGGAACATACGGGTTGGAAGGATGGAAATTACTTTCGGTAGGAAAAAGTTGGAGGTACCTATTAGGTTTTTTTTAATCAAATGACTGCTCCCGCCTGGGTGAGGCGGGAGGGAGTGTCAGACTATAACTGACTAAAAACCACCCCGTTCCTTCTCCTGCACGTCGAACCGGAGCCCCGGTTACCCGTTAGGTTCTCCGTGACTCCGAATCGGCATCGGCCCTGTTGGGCCCCAACTGTGGTGGTCTGATGACTCTTTGAGGCGCGCGCGGAACGCGACGCGCCGTACGCTCGGGAGTTATTAGTCGTTGAGATCCACATTTCAAGACCAAGGTTTACAAGGCATTTGTAATATCTCTAGTTTTGCATATCCGAGTGTCCAGAGGCGACGCCAGTTGCTTACTATCAGATGATCCGTCTGCTCGTTTCCTCATGTTTGGTGATTCGGGGACACATCCCCAAAAAAAACAAAAATATAACCCAAAATTGTATGTACATGCGATTTTCTGCAATAACTTTAGTACAATACACTAAATCTGTAAAAAAGTGATGCTTCAGAACGAATGGGCAGGCTCACCACGACCTCACAGAAAACCGACGTGAAACCACACTTGCGTTGTATTTCGTCGTGTAAGCGAGGTTATCGGATGCATATGTGAGCACCATGTATGACCATGTTAAGATTTTTACTTTTTTTTTATTTTAGTAAGTTATTAGTGTAATGCGTCAAGCGTGTCTTTGCATTGTTCTTACATATGAGTACAATATTGAACAATTGACATTGTAGAAGATACTTTTTTAAAAAGAGTAACGAATGGAGTTTCTTGCTCGTTCTTCTCTTCGAATCTAGGTACATTTTGGAATGAGCACCTAGCTTCATCTAGTTTCAATGACGGACTGACTGACAGAATATTATTTATTTTGTATTTGTTGACGTTTCAAAAGTACCAAACTATGGTTTAATTGAAATAAATGCGTTGACTTTGACTTTGTCCAAATCCCCCCCCCCCCCACTTTCCCAATCTCCCCAATTCCTAAATCCCCAATATTCCTTGTCCATGGGCGACGCAGATTGCTTACCATCAGGTGATATAAAAACCTAGTCAGCAGCTACTTAGATCTATGGTGGAAAATCTGTATTTTGGTCTGCCATTGATAATATTCACAAAATCTGTTTTGCTGACCTGACTGAACTCTTGGTAATTTCAGTGTAAGCAGTTGAAAGTTGTCTGATCTTCACATCTGTATGCGTCCAACAGTGATTCTATTCGTGATAACGCCATATATCATGCTGATAATAACTACAGGTGATGTTAGCTTATGTAATGTTCACGTAGGTGTAAGATTTGCAAATATTAGGTAATTGCTATTTCCGTTGGTCACATCTGTCATCGCTAAAAGTTGGTTTCCTCACGAATATATACTAATACAAGCGGCCCCGACAGACGTTGTCCTGCTCCACTTGAATGTGTAAACAAAAATTCATTCAAATTAGTTCAGTCGTTTAGGATAACTTATCTAGACATCGACTGCGCTATCTGCCGGGCTGATTTGTGAATCTAAACCATCCAGGGCGCCACTCAAACGCGTACAGAAAAATTCATTTAAATCGGTCAACTTTAAAGTCAAATCAAAAAGCAGTATACTGCGGGTAACATCGCTGGTTACCGTGGCTCTCCGGCTCGAAGCAGGAAACTCGATGAGGTAGTTCTTAGTCAGTAAAAGTCTGACACTCTCTTGCCGCACTCAGGATAGGAGAAGCCATTGGATGATTTTCCTCCTTCAAAAAATAAGCGTCTTATCTTAACGTTTATAGTATTTTATCAAAGTCTGTGAGATAGAACGCAATTTACGAAGTAGTTCTTAAACTTATGTATGATATACGTAATAACTAGCCCACAAAATATTATTAAACATATTATATTGTCATACAACAAAATATTAGACAGCCTAGAATGTTAATATTGAAAGGGTAGACGATATAAAATGTCTTTACCATGAATTTAGGTCAAAGAATTTGCTTAGACTTAGAGTAAAAATAGAAATATCTACGAAGATTTGTTATGTCTACGGATTCTACGATCCATAAGCAAAGATATCTTTGACTAAAAAATAATCGGGGATCACGGGACGATCTCCGGCCACCGTAAGCGCGGGCCTGCGGACGGCGAGCATAGGTGGCTCGCCGCCCGACCAGAACCAGACACGAGCGTACGGCGCGTTGCGTTCCGCGCGGGCCTCAAAGAGCCATCAGACCACCACGGATGGGGCCCAATAGGGCTGAGAACCTAAAGGGTACCCGGGGCTCCAGCTCGACGTGCAGGAGAAGGATTGGGGTGGTTTTTAGTCAGTAAGAGTCTGACACACCCTCCCGCCTCACCCAGGCGGGAGCAGTCATTCGATGATTTTCTCCCCTTAAAAAAGACTAAAAATAATAGACTAACACCTGAATATTGAAAAAAGGTATTCTGGTCTGCTCTCACCGTGGGACCAAAACACTTAGAATCTATTATATAAACAGTTTAAAAATAAAACACATATTCATCTTCCTAATATAAATATCTTGAATGTAATTACACGAACAAAATACAACTACAACTGAACCAACACCCAAAACAAAATGTCACTGTGATTGACACAAAAACCAAAAGGACTTAACTCCACAACAACCTCACAGCAAAAAGCAACCTTCGAACAAACTTCTCAAGATTGATAATCCAATCTACTTCTTGAAAGTGGGTTTCCAGGAGATATTTTCAAGGCCATGGAAGTATCTCTTCATGTTTTGTCCGTCAGCCCACTTGGAGTCCATATAGCTGTCGTCTTCATCTGCTTCTAACTTCTTCCACTCCTCCTGCTTTCTATAGGCGTGGAGAGTGAGTTGCTTGCGTTCTTCCTCGCTCATGATTGGCTCCCTGCCTGGTGCACCTTCGGAGTTAGAACAGAGCTTCACTGTCACCTTAGTTTTGTTGTTGTTTCCTGGAAAATGTGAAAATACGGATTATTATCGATATTACAAATTTAATAAAAAGAGACCACTACACAGTGATTGCCTCGTTAGCCGAGTGGTCGGAATTACGACTGCCGGGCAAGGGGTCTCGGGTTCGATTCCCGGGTAAGGCAAAGTATTACTGGGTTTTTAAAAAAATTCTCAGTTGTAGCACGGAGCCTGGAACTGTGTCCGGTATATGGCAATAGGCTCACCTCCTATTACATGGCACTCATAACATAAATAGTGAACAGTGGGTGTTACATAACATTGTACAGTGGTATTATGTGCACCTCTGCCTACCCCTTCGAGGATAAAAGGCGTGATGTTATGTTGTTATGTGTTAGACCACCAAAGAAGGGGCCCGACAGGGCTGATGCCGATACGGAGCCGCGGAGAACGTAAAGGGTTACCAGGGCTCCGGCTCGAAGTGCAAGAGTAGGAACGGGGTGATTTTTAGTTAGAAAGAGTCTGACACTCCCTCTCGCCTCACCTCGGCGGGAGAAGACATTCAATAATTTTCCTCTCTTTAAAAAAAGTCCTTACCTAAATGGTCCCTCAGTTTATTCCCACTGATGAGCTTCTTTCCGCAAGCCCAAAGACAGGCTCTGGATGGGTCGATGACTTCAGTGGAAGCGTGGGTTCCAGTCAGATCCTCCACGTTATCCAGCTCCATTCGAACTGGATCGTGTGGTGGTAGACCACCAGGGAACACGATCTTAGTGGCACCACGGAGCTCGTCGAGGGCTCTGGCTACGTCTTTCTGAGTCAAACATTTGCGAAGGTCCACCTGGAACATTTTAAATATAATTTTTAGATTTACTTCGAACTGTATACTATTTTTTTAAATAACTTTGTGGCCCTGCGATTTAAGACCGCGGGTTCAAAACCTACCAATTGCAAGTACCTACCAATGTGACTTTTTCTGAGTTATATGTACTTTCTAAGATTATTTAGACACCACTGACAAACGGTGAAGGAAAACATCGTGAGGAAACCTGGGCATATAATTTCTAATCTGAAATCGCCAACCCACGTTGAGCAAGCTTGGTTAGTAATGCTCAAACCATTCTGATGATGATGACTTTCTAACCATGGTGATGATAAAATAGAAAACATCTGCCACCAGTCCTATTAATCCCCTCGAAGTATCTTACCAATAGATTAAGTATTCGTGTTTATCAACCGCTCTAATAGAAGGAACCCCTTTGCTAAGGTACGTAGCACTAACATAAAGACATTTTGATTTTAACCAACCTTTAACTAACGCCTTAAATACTCACGCTAAGTAACTCTTAGTTAATTGATGGTTTAGGGGTACCTAATAGGGGCGGGTTTTTTTTGAGGGGGTAAATCATCCGATGACTTCTCTCGCCCGGGTGAGGCGGGAGGGAGTGTCAGACTCTTACTGACTAAAAACCAGCCCGTTCCTACTCCTGCTCTACGGGCCAGAGCCCCGGCAATCCGTTGAGTCCTCCGCGGATCCGTACATTTAACAAGGACAGACAATAGCATTCTTTGATAAACCCAATCGGTTTGAACTGCGATCTCTAACCCGTCTACCATGCGTGGAGATTACAAATGAGAGGTGGTTCTACCTACATGTTTCTTACTAATAAACTCTTTGGCGTCCTCGGCAGCTTTCTTGATGACTTCTTGCATGTTGGGAGGGGGAGCGAGGCCGCATCGGCGACCCATGTCATCCTTCACGAAGACGTGACCTGGTGGGGCACAGCGCTGTGCCCACGGATCTTCCAGTTTTAGTTCTTTGATCTGTAATGTTAAAGGATAGAGCAAATGAATGTTTATGTACATGAATTCTTTAAATAGTATTGTCGCTTAACAATATTTGATGGGCCAACGTTGACCACTATCTCGCCTGGTGGTAAGCGATGCGAACGAATGAATGAATATCATTTAGTTGCCTATTTCTCGGGAGTTATCGGGGAGGCCTAAGTTCAGAATTGTACAAGGACGTTTTCTGTTGTAATCCTTTGCTTAAGAGCGCATGGCTACTGCTAACATTCAAGTATGAGATTCAAAATTAGAATTATTTACCACTTCATAATAGGAAAAAATCGAAAGCGTAAATATAATATGTACACATATAAAATGCTAACTCGCTGTTCAAAACGTCCGGCCAATGCGGGTATTCTTAGATTATTTTTTTTATATATATTTTGATGAATTAGAATTACTTAGAACAGAACGAATTAGGACGAATTAGACATCTATGACAAGGATTGGCTGCAAAAAGCTTTATATAGAGAGGAGTGGAAGGAGGGTAGGGAGGCCTTTGCCCTGCAGTGGGACGATCACGGCTGAACATAAAATAATAATATTTTGATGGACCGACTTTTGACCACTATCTCTCCTGGTGATAAGCGATGATGCGGACACATGAATTAACTATATAGACATTTGTTTTTATAATAACTATCGTGAGGCATACTAAATTAACTAGAAATCGCGGGTTACTGTGACGTGAGTAACCCGCGATGTATATGTAAATTAATATTATTAAAAAAAACACCACAAACCTGTTCATCAGTCAACCCCTGCATCTCTGGAGGCAAGAAGGTCCCATGCTTCTGCAGCTCCTCGATCTCATAGCACAACCTCGTCACTTTCAACCGTCCATTGAAAATAGCAGTTATGTCCTTAACAACGTCATCGACCTCCTTATCAACATCAGTTTCATATAAAAACTGATTCTCATCATTTCTTTTCACAAGGAATATAACCATTTTTCAATATATTTCTATGAAATACTTCGCACTGCAGAAAATATGCGATGTTATCGAACTAACGATCGTTGCTATGGTGACGAAGCGTTCCTTTGACAACTGTTGTTATGGTGATCATCAAATTCAAAAGAGGATTTAGTCGCAATTTGTGTCAATGAACTTTGTTTATCATACGTCCTTATTCATATGATCTTGTTTTATTTCTTTGTATAAATATGTAGGCAGTAGTGTGTATATATGGTCCTACGCATGCCAGGGATAAGTCAAAGTATAAGATAATAAAAAAAACGATTTAAATGTCGTGAGTTCATAGCAATATTCAAAATCATCGTGTTTTTCGAATAATTTGTGATTAAGCTTTTGGTTTTTCTTTTGTTAATAAAAAAATAATGCCTGTATTTTCCCATTCAGAACTCATTAACATCAAAAACAACAGCGTCCCAAAATAACATCTAATGAACGAAAGGAACAAAATCAGAAATTATTACAAAATCCAATCATAAATAATAAGTTCTTAAAATAAATCAAATCAAAATAATAATTAACGACGTTTCGATAAATAATACAAATGATTGAATAATGGGTGCCTACTGTTAATTGAATCGACGCTTCCCGAGTTTATGCGAGGTATTGCTCTTGTGAAAACAATAGGCGCTTTTGTTAAACCGCTGTTTCTGAGTTGCTCCCGGTCTCTCGTCGCTCGTAGAAAGATTCATTAGGCTGCGGTAATGTTTTTGTACATAATTACTGTTTTACGGGTTCGACGTACAAATTACTTCGATTTTAATTGAATAGGAATCTTATATTGTTGATTATTGAGTGGCAATTTGTTATCCTACTTGTAGTATGCCAAACTTTGCGTCTTTCACAATGGATGATTTTTAATAATAACTTAAACTATATCTACATTTTTTCGACAGAATGAGGCTTACTTTGACTGACTGCCAACTGTATTAAGAGTTTTATATCACAATCAATGAGTGCATCTAAAGTAACTCAGACACAAAGCCTTACTAATGTAAGGGGCAAAGGTTTTTTGCACTGCAAATCCTTTAGCAATATTGTTGCTTAAATCAAAACTAAATCTAATACAAAACTCCGTGCTCACTAGTAACGCTTGTCATCACTACACTGACGAAGCAGTTCGTCCGGTTATTGACCTTTAGACAAATCCCTTTTTGGTAACATAAGCCTGTAAGGGTAGTTGTACCTAAATATAGCCTTCTTTGAACTATCAAAGGAAATATTCTGATGTATTACTAGAACCTTTTCTATCTGATATCGAATTTTATAACATATCTCTGTTCAAAGCACAGCTTTATTCTCAGTACCTACACGCATAAAACAAAATTTCTATGAAAAAAAAAATATAAAAATAAACAAAAAATTGTACGGCGCGCCGGGTCCACGCCGGGTCAGTTAATCTAATGTAGCGTAAGATGATCACTGGGCCGGAAAATGCCGACCCAGCCAGATAAAACATCTAACTATAATTAAATTTTCGTATTTCGCCCCTGATACGTTGTCGCTGTTCAAATATGTAGCTTCGTTACTGTTTGCTATGCGTTGTGTGTAAGGCGTCTTTGATTTGAATAGGCTATTTATTCAAATACCTACTATTGTTTTGTGTATTATTTAACTTGTATGTTATTATTTCCGTGTTTAATTATGTGACTTTGAAATATGGATAGTAAAATAAGCGTAGATATTTCTTTCGCTAAGTCAATGTATTTACCGATTAGATAGTTCGGAGAAAATAACTTAAATTCAATCCAAAATATACGTAATCATTATAACTTAGATAGATCCTATATAAATGCAAAATCCGTAGCAGGGTACGACCAATAAATTACACATGTGAACACATTCACAATACCCACAGATACACAACACAAATCACTCCGATTATCGAGATATTCCAATTCGAATAGATAATCGATTGTATCGAATATCCTTTGCGGACGATTGAACCGAGTTGCATCCGTATCGATATAGTTTATGTTTCATCGTGAACATGTTCAAACAAGCGAGGGGTTGACATGTTTTTCTTGAATCTACGGAAATCGTTTTGGAATGGAGACTATTATTGAAAACGGCCGGCGTATGAAGTGTATTACGTCACGTGTTTTGTAGAGAGAAATGGTTGTGTGATGATATTGTAAAATGTTTTTATTCATTATAACTTATTATTATTAGGTAGGTACTTGGTTGTTCTATAAAAAAGGTTAAGAGGTGGAATATGATTGATGTGCATTTATTTTTTATACCACGACGGCGACGGTGGCAAAGAAGCACACGGCGCACCTGATGGTAAGCGGTTAGCGTGGCCTATGTACGCCTGCAACAATTGGGGCATTACATGCGTCTTGCCGACCCTTTAAGAAACCTGTTCATTTCCTCGTGAAGAATTAATTTATGGTACTTATATTATGTTAAGGGACAAACTCACATTTCAATTTCTGTTTTGTCAACGTACTTATTTAGGTACAGAGAAACCGCGTGGATCAAATTGAAACGTTGTAGTTAAATATGTTCATATTATTATTATCATCTTCTACTCTCTCACCAGGTGTGGTGATTATGGCAAATCTCTCTTACGTAGAGAAAGACAATAGTCTTGCAGTGATCAGTGGTGTTTTTCTATGGGCTCTTAATAAGTACCCGGTAGACTCAAGAGTCCTTACAGAGTTAATTTTTTATGGGATAAGCCGCTAAACCAGCAGATGGATCACCTGATGGTAAGCAATTGGCGCCGCACATGGATACCTGAAACACCAGAGGCATTACAAGATCGTTACCGGCCATTAGGGTATTAGGAATTTAAAGATTGTTATGGATTGAGGTGATAGGGAGGGGGATAATCGGGCCTCCGGTAACCTTACTCACACGACGAAACACAACGCAAGTTTTCTGTGAGGCCGTTGTATCACTCCGGTTGATCCGGCCAATTCGTGCAGAAGCATGGCTCTCCCACACTTAATACTTAACTATACTCCTAAGCAATGGTCTTCGTAACAAACTCATTAGATACTTTAAATAATCATTAAACATTTCTCAGTACGACTGTAATATTGTGTTCTCGGTCTGTTGACATAGATGTTAACCTTGTAATTCTGAAAATGAGCATTCATACTACGACCTCTTACATCGAAAGTATCTGCATAAAGTTGATATTTTTTATCCAAATAAAAGTGTATTACGAAACAGGGTCAACATGTTGCACCGGCCATTTGGTGCAGGTTCGAGTTCAATGATTTACAGGCTCGTACAATAGTACGCTCGTTACATTGTTTTCGAACAAAAACTGGTCAGAGGACGTAGATATTGTAAATGGTGCTTTTAACTACGATTTTTTAAGTTTGTATTTTCATTTTGGAGATACATAGTTATATGTTTTCTTTTGGCATTCTGCTATAAATACATCGTGTGCACCTAATGGTTGGTCTGAATACACAATACGCAGACCTAATGCATAAGTATTAGGGCTTTATCATCATCATGTTGTGATGGCCCGTGGCTTCAGACAGCCCTTCTCATGCATGAGAGTGCAGATTCGAAACCTAACAACGGCAAGTTAAATGTGATTTTTTCCGAGTTATATGTATCTTCTAAGAATATCTAGACACCACTCACAAACAGTGATGGACAATATCGTGAGGAAACTTAAACTTATTATTTTTAATTATAATTTTAAAATCGTCTACTCACATTGAGCAATCGTGGTGATTAATGCTCAAACCGTGCTAATCTCCGTGTGAGAAGAGGCCTTTGGTGTTGGTCAGAAGTGGCCAATTATAGGCTGTCGATGTTAATGTTGATATAGGCCTCTTTATAGAGTTTAGGTTTGTCATAATGTCTTCTGCTAGGCTTTTTTTTTAAGGGGGGAAAATCATCGAATGACTGCTCCCGCCTGGGTGAGGCGGAAGGGAGTGTTAGACTCTTACTGACTAAAAACCACCCCGTTCCTTCTCCTGCACGTCGAGCCGGAGTCCCGGTTACCCGTTAGGTTCTCCGCGACTCCAGGCTAGAGGTCCAAGTCTGAAAGATTTAACAGAAACAACGCTTCAACTGACTCTAGCACCCCCAATAATATAATTTCAATTTCGCTTTCCCCCATAAGGTGGCAACGCACTTGTAACACCGTTGGTGTTGCAGATGTCAGTAGGCAACGCTGATTGCTTACCATCAGGTGATCGTCCACTCATTTACCATTAAAAACTCTTTATAAAATCAATAATACTTCGTTAACATTGTCTAATTGCAATATGTATTTGTTCCAGATCTCGCACATAACATGTGGACACCGGCACGGCCATGACATCTCCACCGAGGACCCGGAGATCATAGAACAGAGCTACGATAATTCCACGCATCATGGAAAGGTGAGTGCAAGGGATTTTCAACCTATTGACTTTGTGATTAAGTTAATAATTAAAGTATGACGGCAGCTTGATGCTACGACAACTCTGTTCGTCATGGGAAGGTACATGTTCAGGGAATTTTAAACCTTATTTACTTTGTTAAACTATCACATTTGATTCTTTTTTCTATACCTCGGACTTAGAACTTAGTAGGTTGATTTTTATGGCATTTCTAAGATTATTCAGACACCACTGACAAATGGTGATTAATGCTCAAACCTTCTCCGTGTGACAAGAGGCTGCTGGTCAACAGTGGACACTGTTGACTAACCACTGTTTATTAACAAACATGATTGAACATTAAAGTAGACACTCTTAACTTTAAAGGTTAATAAC